AAAGATATAAAAACAAATATTTCGATAACACTTGTTATACCCATAAAATCAAGAAACAAAAAAGTTTGCAAGCCTTTAGAAAAACAAAAAAATAAGCTTCAAACCTCTCACACTGTTTGAAAATAAAATTTTCGAAAATTATATATAATTGTGTACACTTTAAAGACGTACTCTAACTGCATACTAAATTCCAACTATCAATTGCTAACCGTTCATTACTATTATTATTGTTATCAACTTATCACGGTCACATTATAAGATTATTTAAACTGCTTTACTTCGATGTATTAAAAATGACAATGTTTTAACCGGTTAATAAGTTTTTGCATGTATTATATTTTTAGCAAACAGATATTTTATTTTTTTGCTACTTGTGCAGATAGAATTGTTTAAATATTGATTCTGCATGTAAAAATTATTAGATATTAATCTACTAAAAATTGTCAGTATAAAAATTAATATCGTATGAATGAATAAATTCCAAGTTTGATATATTGTATTATAAATTATTGACTAAATAAATGAATACACGTGTATGTTTAAAAATTATATAAAAACCGTTTTTTANATTAGATATTAATCTACTAAAAATTGTCAGTATAAAAATTAATATCGTATGAATGAATAAATTCCAAGTTTGATATATTGTATTATAAATTATTGACTAAATAAATGAATACACGTGTATGTTTAAAAATTATATAAAAACCGTTTTTTAACAAAGTGAAAAGTCGAGCAAAATATATTTAATGTTTTCTAAAACATTTCAAGCAATACTTTATAAAGCTTATGCAAGTGTTTATGGTATAAGGTTGTTTTGTAATTCCAGCTTTTCATGTTCGAATGAATTATGATAGGTTTAAAACAACACAGTTCGAAAAACGACAAACACTGAATGAGTGTATTTGTCGTTTATCTGCATTTAAATATATACTACTAATTTTAAACATTAAATAAATTATCTTTGACGAACAACAATAATCGTGAGAACAGTGATATTTTTAATATTAAATGAAATTATTGCATAGTTATACAATTATGTTGAAATATGTAAAACAAGTTATAAAAATACACATAATATATATATCGTTTTTTAATTTTAGAATAAAAAATATAANATATATTATATAATAATAGCTTCTGTTATAGAACTAAATATAATCTAGAATACAGATTAGTTTCAGGCGACAACGTCTAATGTCAATCAACGTTAGATGTTGGTGTGCGTTCTAAACATCTATGACTAGTTTTATAAATTATTTACACATGGTCTACAAACAAGTGTTTCGACTGATATATTTTATTAAGTATATATTTGTAACAATTTTATATAAAGATATCGTTTACATATTCATCGAAAACAATATATACGATGTAAAAAAATATACGTCAAATATAATAGTTTAGTTCTAAGCGAATTTTCAAAATAATTAATATATTAAAAAACAATTGGTATATAGCAAAAAGTGACAATACTATCAGAAGTGTTTATTCAGTTAATCAGAGCAGCGGTAAAAATTTTTCGTATTAATATGGAAACATTTTACCGAATGTGTAAATATTTCTTATAGCAGTGTGATTTAATGCTCGATAAACATTTAATACGACATGAAGATGAATGTACAGATATTTAATGTAAGGATATATGTCAAATATAAGTTACAATAATGCGAGTGTTATAAGATAAAAACTGACTCAAGCTTGAAAAGATAATCGTTATAAAGCATCCACTGCTTATTACGTTTAGTAGTAAGCAGTTAATGTTTACTTTGTAATGTTGAAAAACAAAAAATTTAATAAACACGAAAAAGTGACGTATGCAACACGAAATGTATTTTTAAGAACTATTCTGTTTTAAACTTAGTATTATTTAGTTTTGAATTGTAGTAAATAAATAATATATATATCATTATAAATAAATATTTTCGATGTTAAATTTATATATTTAGCAGAAGTATATACAAATTATCTTTGAAAGTATAGTTATCCAAATAGCAAGTGTAATGTGACAACATAGACCAGTGAAATCATGTTTTAAACAAATGCTACAAATTCAGTCAACGAAATATCGAAAATTTAGTACTAAATATCGGCATTCAAAATTAATTATCGTCTTTGTATAGCATACAAATAAATGTTTGAACAAACAGTTGTTAGAATCGGCTTAGCAGGTAAAACGTATTTGATGTTTGTCTGTGAAATACATTTATACTAGCAGTATAGCAACACATATCAAAAACATATACTAACGATAGCGAAAAATAAGATTATTGAATTATAACAAGTCTTATTCGTTTTTACAAATTTCAAAAATTAGATTAATTTTTTTAAAATTACTTTAGACATTTTAGATGAGTATAAAAACATGTTAGATGATCTGCGAACTACGGCATTTAATATAGTAGAATATAAAGCGAATTTTTTAAAGTAAGCTTTAAACTTCGCACACTGTTTGTAAAAAAATTTTCGAAAAATTATATATAATTCTGTACAGTTTTAAGACGTACTTTTACTGCATACTAAATTCCAACTATATATTACTAACCGTTCATTATTATTATTATTGTTATCAACTAATCACGATCACATTATAAAAATATATAAACTGCTATACTTCGATGTATTAAAAATGACAATGTTTTAACCGGTTAATAACTTTTTGCATGTATTATATTTTTAGCAAACAGATATTTTCGTTTTTAGCTACTTGTGCAAATAGAATTATTTAAATATTTGTTCTGCATGTAAAAATTATTAGATATCAATCTACTAAATATTGTTAGTATAAGAATTAATATCGTATGAATGAATAAATTCCAAGTTTGATATATTGTATTATAAATTGTTGACTAAATAAATGAATACATGTGTATGTTTGGAAATTATATAAGAACTGTTTATTTAACAAAGTGAAAAGTCGAGCAAGATATAATTAATGATTTTTAAAACATTTCAAGCAATACTTTATATAGCTTATGCAAGTGTTTATGGTATAACATTGTTTTGTAATTCCAGTTTTTAATGTTCGAATGAATCATGATAGGTTTAAAACAACACAGTTTGAAAAACGACAAACACTGAAAAAGTGTATTTGTCGTTTATCTGCATTTAAATATATACTACTAATTTTAAACATTAAATAAATTATCTTTGACGAACAACAATAATCGTGAGAACAGTGATATTTTTAATATTAAATGAAATTATTGCATAGTTATACAATTATGTTGAAATATGTAAAACAAGTTATAAAAATACACATAATATATATATCGTTTTTTAATTTTAGAATAAAAAATATAAGAAAAATTGCGCTCATTTAACACATATAATTACAACGCATTTACAGATGCACACTTCGTAACGAAATATTACGTACGATTATGTTTATCAAAATTTGTAATTAGTAAATTACAGTTACAAATACAAAACGTTATTAATTATCGTTGTTCGGTATTGCGCATTTTGAAATATTTCAGTGTACTACTTTTAATGATAATAAATCACGTGTTTAAATGCAAGATTAAAATACTAGGATTAATGCAAACAAATTTATACACAATGAGATTTTTCGAAAATAACATGTGCTGTGAACTCTGTTCGAAAAATCTTAACTACGATTTATTCTCAGATGTCAGTTCTGTTCGAATTTTACAGTGCGACTATTTTAAAACTCATGATATTAGCAACGTATCTATTTAAAAAAAATTACTGAAATGATGTGCAGCTATTGATAATAGATTTATCATTGTACATAGGTATTAGATTTATCTACAAAACCTAGTGTAATAACAGTTGAAAATTTCGATTTAACGTCATGTTTGTAACTTATTCAGAAATTAAAAAACAAAAAATATATATTGCTGTACAACTTTTTCGATACATCATTTGAATTTGTCGGCGTATATAAAACAATCTTATTTTTCAGCTGCAAGTTCGTGCGAAAGTGACTTCGCAAACAAATGTACAGATTATCTATCTCTAAGTAATCATTTGAATCATTGTCAGTATGAGATAGTTGGTGTATTCTACATGAGAATGTTTAGTTTTTCCACAAACCCTTGCAATATGACCAAGAATGCCACATTTATTACAGGTAAATGTTCTAAATCTACAATTCTCATGGGAATGATTTTTGCTTCCACAAGATTTACAGATGTAAGTAGTGGTTTTCTTTGTTTCAAACTTAGTTTTATCTCTAGGACTATTCTCACTAAACTCCTTCTTTCTGTTAGAGAACTTTGTGGAACGAATTTTAAAACAATCGTTTTCGAGTGGCAATTTATTGAAANACACATGGAGCATGTGACAAAATATTATTATATCGATTATTACTTTTATTATATGTTTTTACTATAATTAGATTACTGATATTATCCAGCATTCCAGATTATGAAGTGTTGGATTAATTGACTTTTACTGTATTATATTTTTACTTATTTAATAGAAACCCAAAAGAAAAAATATTTGTCGCATATGTAAAAAAGGATTCAAATATCCATCTCAATTGAATGTGCATATGCGCACGCATCCAGATAATTTATATGAATGTAGATTTTGTACCAAAGTTTACATGCGCCAAGATACACTTGAGAAACATATCGGAAGCAAGCATAAAATTCAAATGGTAGGTAATATTGTTATATAATGAAAATATATTAAATTTTATTAAATACTTTATGTAATTTTATTAATCTTTGTAGGAAAACGAAACAAATGTAAGTAAAATACTTAAAAAGTTAAAAAATATAACATTTAATTAAATACTTCATTCATTTTTATAATATATTTGTAATTTTCTAGCAGGAAGAAATTCAAGAAAACGTTAACGTAAGTATCAAACTTAGTGAAAATAATATGAAATTTAATTCAATACTTAATTAATTTTTATAATATATTTGTAATTTTTTTGCAGAAAGTGCAAGAAAGTGTAATTTTCCTGCAGAAAGTACAAGAAAACGTTAACGTAAGTATCAAACTTAGTGAAAATAATATGAAATTTAATTCAATACTTCATTCATTTTTATAATATATTCAAGGTTAGATTGAAAAGTCCAGCTATCTTAACACTACCATCATTTTTAACTACTGGAATTATAGGTGTGGCCCAAGCACTGTTGGATATCTTAGAAATAACTCCAGCCTTTTCTAACCTAGATAACTCTGCTTCAACTTTATCCCTGAGGGAAAAAGGAACTGTCCTTGGCTTCAGAAAAATAGGATGTGCATCTGGTTTTAACGTTAAATGAAGGAATATTGATTTAGAACATCCGATGCCTTCAGAAAATACAGTAGAATATTTGTCTAGTAGAGAAAGCAGATTAGAGTTTGTATGAGGAATCTTGGGAGTAATACTATTGATTTTACATGAGAGCTTTAACTCTCGAATCCAATCTCTTCCAATGAGGTTAGCATTACCATGACGAACCACATAAAGACGAAGTTTATGGCGAGAACGATTGTAAAGAACTGGTACTATAATAAATCCTAATACATTCAACTTGAAATTTCCATATGTGCAAAGAAAATGTTTAGACTCATGTAAAGAAAAGGATGATAAGTCTCTGTTGAAAGTGGATTCAGAAATGATGGAAAGTGGGGAGCCAGTATCAACTTCAAAACTAATGTTCTTCTTATTAATAGAAAGAGTGAGAATAATAGGTGGAACTGGTGTGGAGACATCTTGAATATTGAAAAGATTTAAATAAGATGAATTATCTATCTCTAAGTAATCATTTGAATCTTTGTCAGTATGAGATAGTTGGTGTATGCTCACATGAGAATGTTTAGTTTTTCCACAAACCCTTGCAATATGACCAAGAATGCCACATTTATTACAGGTAAATGTTCTAAATCTACAATTCTCACGGGAATGATTTTTGCTTCCACAAGATTTACAGATGTAAGTACTGGTTTTCTTTGTTTCAAACTTAGTTTTATCTCTAGGACTATTCTCACTAAACTCCTTCTTTCTGTTAGAGAACTTTGTGGAACGAATTTTAAAACAATCGTTTTCGAGTGGCAATTTATTGAAACGACCTGCATCAATCAGAGCTTGTTCCATAGCAATAGCATAATTGATCGCTTTCTGAAGGTCTAATTCCGACTCATTTTTAGCAAATAGATTTGAACGAATCCTAGGGTCGTACAAGCCCGACACGAATTGATCTCTTAAACGTGAAGCAAGGGAATCTCCAAAATCACACTTTTCACTTAATGATTTTAAACAAACTATAAAATCGTTAATCGATTCTCCTTCTTTTTGTACCCGGCGAGTAAAGTTCGCTCTCTCGGAAATAATACTGACTGATTTATTTCTATGGGACCTCATTATACTTTTTAAATCAGCAAATGTCTTCGAAGAAGGTTTATCTGGGAGACAAAGGTTCCTTAATAGTTTGTAAGCCACCGGACTCATTTGACTAAGAAGTGTAGCCACCATTTTTCTATCGTCGGTGATATCGGACGCTATAAAGAATTCTTCCAATTGTTCAACGTATTCATCCCAATCAGTATTTACGTTGTACGGGTTAACGTTAATCACATTTGCCATTTTCGAATAAGGAAAGAAAACAATGATAATAAGCAATTTGGTAACTTACGGGTCGAAGGTAAATCTAGCTGAAGATAGCCACGTGTTGACTTCGTCGAATTGGTCGAGAAAAAATAAATAAACTTCAGTATTCTTGAATAAAATTGTAGAAATATATTATCTTTGATCCACCTCGTCGCCAGAATTGGTATGTATTAACGTCGGAATTAGATTACGAAAAGGATTGAAACGGATTCTCATGAACAGCTAAATCAACACGTCTTTATTGAAGTACATAACGGTGCAGAACTCTGCAGTGCGCAGGCGCGCTACTACATATATACATTTGAACTGCCATAGATGGCGCTGCGATACATAGCAGGTTTGGGTTGACAGGTTGAGTGGTTGTGTAGCCATTTAATTGAAAAGTGTGGTAAATTTGGTCTATTTCTATGTTTTGGTTAGTAATATCACTTGTGTGTGTTTTGATTTTGTTGACATACATGTTGAATATGTTCTTTTTAATATTCATGGGTGTGCTGGAGTGGTAATTTATTACTTTATTGACGTCACAAGGTTTTATATATTTTTTAAAGGTAATGTGCTTGTCGTGTCTTCGTATGGTGATGTCTAAAAAATTGAGTTTGCTGTTGTTTTCATTTTCAAATTCGAAACACATATTCTTTTGGATATTGTTGGCATGTTGAAGTATGATTTGAGGGTTGCTTAATTGTTTGTTATACAGAACAAAGCAGTCGTTGACATAACAGTTGTAGAACATTATACCCTGTAGTTTATGGATGATATTGTCAATGTTAATCATGCACAGTTCGGCGAGTTTTGGGCCGATGCAAGAGCCCATAAAGATGCCATTAATTTGTCTAAAGNTAATTGTTTGTTATACAGAACAAAGCAGTCGTTGACATAACAGTTATAGAACATTATACCCTGTAGTTTATGGATGATATTGTCAATGTTAATCATGCACAGTTCGGCGAGTTTTGGGCCGATGCAAGAGCCCATAAAGATGCCATTAATTTGTCTAAAGCAGTGATTTTCAACCTTCTTGAATACGCGACCCCTTTACAAGTTAAAAAATTCTGGCGATCCCCCATAGGGCCATATTAAGACTATATCAGTGATTGTAAAAACTATGTATTTAATTTTCTTTCTGTTGAGACAAATTATTGTTGATTAAAATGAAAATTTCGGAAGAATCGACAATAACTTAACACACATAAAGTATGAAACATCCTTTAATGAAGTGTAGGACCTACAAACACTTATCTTTCTTTTACCCGCGACCCCCCTGGGGGTCGCGACCCACAGGTTGAAAAACACTGGTCTAAAGAAACCATTATTACAAATAAAGTAATTGTTGTCTAAATCATTTGTTTATGTTCAGAGTTGATCGAATCTCCTAAGTTATTGTAACAGCCTGTATTCTACATAATTTATGTATATTAGAAAATGATAAATTTTTAGATAATGATTCTGCATCATCATGGAATGCAGCTCTCTGGAAATTTTGCTCAAAGACCAGAAGTGAATAGAGATGATGCAGTAAAAAACAGAGAACATATTGCTAATAGATTTTTACTGGCAAATTGTTAAGAGAAATTCATTTGCTAAATTATGTTAATTATATATAACAATTATAATACATAACATGTAGGTTTTTGTAATGTAATAAAACTTACTCTTTCATTACTTGTAATCTCTCTCTACTACCTGCCCTAAGTTTGTCAAACAGATGAGCATTACATTAATAAAATATTTATTAGTATACACAATTGGTAACTTCTTATGAATTATGTGATGTACAAACCTTACAATTTAAATCTTTTAGATTATATTAAACATTTATTCTATATCAAGTATGTTTATCTCTATACTAGCTGAAATCTATTGAATCTACAGAAAAAAGTGTTTTATCAAAATAAAGATACTGTCCATGAGCTTTTGCAATGTTGGTAAAACACAGTTTTACAAACATAAGTTTCTCTTCTTCCATCTTTTGCAACTCCCTGCAATGTCTTTATTCTTTTTATCATCTTATTTTCAACATATTTTTTAAACCATGCTGGAGCTTCTTCTTTTGATAGTTTTGGTGTTTTTGGATGTGGAGTATCACTTCGGTCATTAGAGGATGAGGGAGAATTGTGACAAGTAGTAGTTGCAATAGCAGCGTTTTCAAAAGAATTTGATATGCCAATAGGTGAAGGTTGTTGGGAGTAGACAGGGCTGGGAAGAGAAGACCATAGTGTTTGTGCTGGAGGAGATATATTAGTTTTATAACCATATATTTTATCTAAAAGTTGAAAATATAGTCAGGTGATGCAACGTTCACCACTCTTTCTAGCCCTGTCTTTGCTTTTTCTGTATGTTGCCACCAAATTTCTCCACTTCACGTCATAATCTTCTGCAGTTAAATTATATTGTTGACTCCAATATCCTTGTATTTTTATCCATAATTTATTTTATTTCCTGGCTTTCCAAACTGCTTCTCAATTGCCAGTCTCTATGAAATTAGTAATTTAATCATGACATCTGTCCATACATCTGTAAAATTGGAAATAAGAAAAATGTCAAGAATAGCTAAACTAAATTATTTCTGATTTTATGGCATGCTCATTTACTGGAAGACAGATGCTAAATAGTATGCTTACCAAGTGCCCATTGATTTAGACTGAGTTTCCGGGTCCTGCCGCCATCATCCATCCCCAGACAGCTGCGAACAGAAAAGTTCAATCAAGTTGTGATGTATAAAATGAACATGCCAATATGTTTTCATGTTTGTGTAATTATTTTCAATGTTAATTAAAAGCAAGTTTCGTATTCTACTGTCAGTGAGAGTTAATACTGATATGAAACTTGCATACATGAAACATGAATACACAAAAACACGACATTTAAAAACTCGCCAATGGAAAATTGACCACTCCTTTGCATGTGCCACACATATTTGCTGTTATGCCATGTGAATGGTGGTCTCCGAACCCATATTATGCCGCTGTTAGCACTACAGAAGAGTTTTTCATCAGTAAAGATGGCATTCTCCCAATCCTGGAAGCCCCAATGAATATATTGCTGGGCAAACCCAACCTAGTCTAGCTAATTTGCAGTGGTCAACAGCTGTTTCTGGGCCACCTGCCTCTCAAACACGTTGAACTGTTGCAACCTATGAAAAAAATTATTTATATATATTATATAAAACATGAATATATATAAATAATGTGTGTGTATATATATATATTATCCTGCTTCCGACATTTCTATATACATAAGAACATGTTAATAAAGTTGTATTTCTGGTAAGTCATTGCATAGATAGAAATAATTTTATTGGAAGATTGGAATATTATACTACCAATGTTACATATTTTCTCTTGACTGTATCTACAGATACGTTCAAATTCAGCTCAATTTTGTGATCTTTTGCAGTTTTGAATGGGCTCACCTGACTATTGCTTTGTAACTGCACATACTCTTCAGGAGTCGTTCGTCACGGTCGGCCGGACGATTTCTGCAGCAACACAGACTCTGTGTTGCGATGTAGCTTGAGATGTGTGATACCCCTCTCGTTGATATCTTGAGTCATTCGGTGATCTCCTGAACTGTTTTCCCCTCTGCTTGGTGTTTGACGATCAGCTGGTGAATTTCCTTACAAAGAAAGGACTTCAGCATCTCACTTGGATGAATTTGAACTTCCCGCTTCCACGTTGATCTTATATAGCTGTCAACAGTGTGTCGGCTGAACAATGATACTCTGGTCTTCGCTCTATCGGAGTTCTGCATCATAGCATGGCATGATGCTTTGCCAATCATCTTTAACTCTATACACATGCGATCGATCGTGGTTTATTTCATTTGTCAAATCATTCCCTTTTTGAAGAAATTAAAAACCTTATAAAACGACATTTTTGTTACTAAATCTTACTGAAAAATGGAAAAACTTTGCTTCCATCACATTGTTACCAGGAAGTGATGGAAAATCAAACATTTATGGGATAACTTCAATAGCCACAAGTGACAATAAAGTGTATGCAATACCAGAAGAACTACGTCCTGCGGATTGTCATACAGGCATAGTAAAAACACATGCCTTTGCTAAAGTGAAGAAAAGTTTAGTAAAAATATACCAAATAAGAAGGGCGTGGATTACATTGACCGGGGAACTTAAGAATACTTACCTAGATGAGGAAGGAAATATGCAGTTTGACGGTCAATTTTTAGAAGAATTAAATCAAGAAGAGCCTAATATAGCACAGATAGAAGAAACCCATACATTAGAAAAACTGTTTGAGAAATTTATAGAAAGTACACAGGAAAATAGACCGCAAAACTTAAAAAATGTCGCAGAACGATTCGTACTGGAAAAATTTACAAGCAAAAATATGAATGCAAACCAATGGATTAATGTTTTTGAGAAAGAATGCATACGCTTTGATGTGACAACAGATGAGAAGAAAATTGAAATGTTGAGGCTGTTTATGGATAAGAGTTGTGTGGACTGGTACAGTTCTATGATTGTAAAATTAACAATTAATGCAGAATGGTCAATGTGGAAACAAAAATTCTGTGAGTCATTTGCAAACAAGGGATGGAGCCCCGTCACCAATGCACTGTTATTTAAATATAAAGAAGGTTCATTGTTGGATTATGCTATAACAAAAGAAAACCTTTTATTGGAGATGAGAAGATCAATCGATACAGGTACAATGGTGGATCTTATTGCAGCCGGTTTACCAGAATTCATACTAAATAAGATTGACAGAGAAGCAATAGAAGATACAGTTGGCTTGTTTAATGAGGTGAGCAAGTATGAACACATGATGAAAAAGAAAAATTATGTGCCAAAGAGGAAATATGGAAATGTCAAAACGAATAATAGAAATGAAGAACGTTTCCCATGTAAAATTTGTGAAAAACTAAATAAAGGTCTTCGCTATCACCCAGAAGACATATGCTGGTTTAAAGTAAGAGAGGATGAGAAAGAGAAAAAAAATATTAGACAAGTGAACAATACAAGAATAGAAACTGAATTAAACGAGACCGATCAAAAACCACGGATAGTAACGCCATTAATAAATGTCAAACTACTACTGAGCGATAAATTAGAAGTATATGGGATTTACGATTCAGGTTCAAATGTGTCTCTGATTAATTCTAAATTACTGAAACTAACAGGAACAGAAAAAAATTTGAATGAAGCAAACCTAGTTACAATTAACGGTGTTAGAAAGACAAGTGGGTTGACGAATTTAAAAATAAAAATCTTTGAATTGGAAAAATGGGTAGATGTATATATAATTAATGAACAAAATTTTGAGTATGATTTTTTGATAGGATTAGATTTGATACAAACATTCAAACTAATTCAAGATGAAAATTTAAAAATAACTCAAAAAGCAAATCAGAAAAGGGAAGAAATTTGTACAAATAAAGAAATAAATACAGAATTACATACTGAACAAGATAAAAGCACATCAGAAGAATACAAAATAAATTTTAATGAACATGTGATAGTAGAAAATTTTCAAATGAAAATAAATCATTTGAATGAAGATGAAAAGACAGAAATAAATAAACTAATAGAAAAATATAAATCAGTTTTTGCAAATGACAAATATGATGTTGGCAAGGTCAATGGATATGAAGCACGGATAGACCTAACAGTAGAAAAATATTGTAGTAAGAGACCTTACAGATGTACAACTGAAGATAAAAAAGAAATAGAAGAACAAATAGCAAAATTATTAGATAATAACCTGATAGAAGAATCATACAGCCCGTTTGCTGCACCTGTTACTTTAGCATTTAAAAAAGAAGAGAAAAAAAAGTCAAGGCTATGTATAGATTTCAGGGATTTGAATAAAATTGTAGTACCTCAAGCCCAACCATTTCCATTGATAGAAGATCTGTTCATAAAGACAAGAAATTGCAAATATTTTTCAACTCTTGATATAAACTCTGCATTCTGGTCTATTCCTTTACGAGTTGCAGACAGGAAAAAGACAGGGTTTGTAACACAGGAAGGACACTATCAGTGGACATGCCTTCCCTTTGGATTAAAGACCTCACCAGCGATTTTTCAGAGAATTTTAAGTAATATATTGAGAAAGTATAAACTAACTGATTTTGCAGTAAATTATATAGATGACATACTTATATTTTCTAAAACTTTTGCTCAGCATATACAACATTTATCACTATTACTGGAAGCAATTAGAAAAGAAGGTTTTAGATTAAAATTTACAAAATGTACATTTGCATCAGACTCGGTGAAATACCTGGGACATATAATTCAAAATAATTCAATAAAACCAGTGAAGGACAACTTAATCTCAATAAGGGATTTTCCTACACCAAAAACTCAGAAAAATGTAAGACAATTTTTAGGAAAAATTAACTTTTATCATGAGTACATACCAAAAAGTGCAATAATTCTAGAGCCGTTACACAATTTACTTAGAAAGAATCAATGATTCATTTGGTCAGAGGAATGCCAAAAGACATTTGAAATGGTAAAAAAACTACTATGCTCTCAACCAGTTCTGGAGATTTTCGATCAAGATTTACCAATTAATATTTATACTGATGCTTCTTTAGCAGGTGTTGGAGCCATTTTAAAACAGATACAACCAGATGGAAAAGAAAAACCAGTAGCTTACTTTTCAAAGAAATTAAATGGAGCTCAAAAGAAAAAGAAAGCAATATACTTAGAATGTCTGGCTATTGCAGAAGCAGTGAGATACTGGCAATACTGGTTAATTGGAAAATCATTCACAGTTTATTCAGACCACAAACCACTAGAGAACATGAATTTAAAATCAAGAACTGATGAAGAATTAGGGGATTTGACATACTATCTATCACAATATGATTTTAAAATAAAATATGCACCTGGAAAACAAAATTTGGAAGCAGATTGCTTTAGTAGAAATCCAGTGTTAGAATCAAATACAAATACAGATGAACAATTAAAAGTTGTAAACTTATGTAAATTAGAAGATATTATATCAGATCAAAATAACAATATAGAAATACAGAGAAAAAAAAGCAAATTGATTCAAAAACAACAATTATACTTAAAGAAGGTTGGAAAAAAAGAAAAAATAATACTTACTGAACAATTCAGCATCAAACTATTGGAAAATTTACATGAAAACCTGTGCCATATTGGAATAAAACAAATGCAGAACACAATTAGTCCATTCTATACAGCCAAAAATCTAACAACTAATATAAAAAAAGTTTGTAGGAGCTGTGAAATTTGTATAAAAAACAAATCAAGAGGACACAATAAATATGGATTTATGTCTCATCTAGGCCCAGCTACAAAGCCTTTTGAGATAATGTCCATTGACACAATTGGAGGTTTTGGAGGTTCAAGATCAACAAAAAGATACCTACATTTGCTGGTAGATCACTTTACAAGATATGCATTTATTAAAACATCAAAAACACAGAGTGCAAGTGATTTTATAAAATTAGTCCAGGACATAACAAAAACAGAGAATATTGGTATGATCCTTACTGACCAATACCCAGGAATTAATTCAAAAGAATTCCAGAAATTCTTACAAGACAAGCACATACCTATAGTATTCACAGCAGTAAATGCACCATTTTCAAATGGTCTGAATGAAAGACTAAATCAAACATTAGTAAACAAAATTAGATGTAAAATAAATGAAAGAGGAAAGAAGAAAGCTTGGTCAACAATAGCACAAGAATGTGTAAACAAATACAACGAAACAAACCACTCCGTTACGGGGTTTTCACCAAGATATCTTTTGTATGGTACAGATGTTACAATTTTACCAAATGAAATAAAAAAAGTTATATCGCTTAGTGACTGGAATAAGGATAGAAAGATAGCATTAGAGAATACAATAAAATCACACAATTACAACAAGACATTATTTGATAAAAAGCTAAAATACTACGAATTTAATGTAGGAGACATGGTGTATGTAGAAAATGGTAACAAGTTAAACAGGAGAAAGCTAGATGAATTAAAAGTGGGACCGTATAAGATTATTGATAAAATTTCAAAGACAATATACAAGATAGATACTGGACACAGAAAAACTGATCCAAACCTGTACCATATTACAAAACTTATGCCAGTTCTTGCATTGGAAGACAGTGAAATTGAAGATGATGGAGATGATTAGCGAAAATTATACTGAAAATTTTCTTCTCCAGGGGGAAAGATGTAAAGAGAAAAATCTCTCTTTCAATTAAAAAACAACTTTATCCACGCGTCGCACTGTCATTGACATGAGACATAAGAAAAAAACAATATGGCGTAATCGTAAGTGGGAAAAGATAAATAATAAAAAGGAATTGATATAGTGAAGAATAAACTTTAAATGTCGTTTCTTTGTTTACAGGTGAGAGTGTCGATTACATTTCAGAAGTGTTATTTTGGTAATGTAACTAAAACTAATAAAATAAAAAAACTTTGTTTACAGAGCAACACATCGTGGTTTATTTCATTTGTCGAATCATTCCCTTTTTTTAAGAAATTAAAAACCTTATATATTTATGATATTTTTGTCTAAATAAATTTCATTATTATGGCTTTTTTACAATTTTTATAATATTGCTAATTGCTTAATTAGTATTGAAAAATAAATAAAAATAGGGTATATATAATTAATAATTAGGTAATGAATAATGGCTAATTTATTTTTAAATAAAATTATGATTCTATAAATTATAAAATTAGGAATTAAATGAATACATTTGAAATAATAATAATAATTAAATTTTCTATTTAAAATGGTAGAATATTACATACTTTATTAGCAATAAAAATACCACATAATATATTTTAATTCTAATTATATTAATATAAATTCGTTCAAAATTTAAATGTAATTAAGAGTTACCAAGTTATAATTATAATTTTCCTTACTTTAATTTAATTAATTAATAACCTGTTTAATATATAATAGAAGTGTGTTTTTAGATATAATTAACTATTTTAAATGATTTAATTTTGTATGTAAAACAATATCTATTACAGCACATACACATTACTTACCATTAATGAAACTTTTGAACCTGTTTGGATTTCGCTAGTCTTTTAATGTTTGGTGTGAAATTTGTTACTGAGAGCATCAGAGAATTCTTCAAATTTGAATCGGTTATTTGCGATCTTCTTTTACTTTTAATCAATTTCATTCATGAAAATGCTTGTTCACATCTGAATGTTATTCCAAAGCGACATATATAGTTTTTTGCAAATTTTCTTAGCTCTGGAAAATGTTCACATGGTAATGATTGCCAGAAATTAATTGTCAGATGCATTTTGATCTGAAAAAGCTCATCAAATTTTCTTTTTAAGAATGAATTTGTTTTTAAATCAATCAGTTCCATTTGTATGTTACTAGGCATCTGCCAGTGGCGTGCCGTCATTGGAAGCAGTGGATGCGCCGCTTCCCTTGTATTTTCTATAAAATAAATACACATTAATTTCAATTTTACGAAAATAATCATACAATATTTTACTATAACCGCATCATGTATCTTATTACAAATTTCTATACTACACATGAAAAAAAGAAAAGATTGCTTTTGTATATTCAAATATTAGTGGCGGAGTGGAAGCGCTGTATCGTCAGCATCCAAAAAGCCAGATTTGCGCATGTGCTTTACAGAGCACCAACCTCACCCGGTTTAGCTGGTGGAAGCCTAGGACCTCAGGTGGATGCTACACGTATATTGCTTCCAATTCTATCCAGGACCGGTTCTGGGCTGTTAGCCACCCTCGCCCGATTACGTGAATCATGAGTAGATTTATAACTTAACCCAACCGATAAGAATTTACTGGTATGGAGATAAGAGTAATCTTCTATAAATACATTTATCAATAAACAATAAAATAACTTACAATGAAATTCAAATATCAATCTGTTTTATCAATGCCTGGTGTCAGCATTATGGATGCTGCCACTGTAACCGATTCACACCTTACAATGCTACAAAGTTGATTTTTTGCAAATTTACTGCAGATTAACTCATATTTAAAGTACAGTGTATTATTTTAATTTGAGAATAAAGTAAATCACTTCATTTATTGTAATTTATGCATTATCAAAAAATATTTAATCTGCGGACTACATAAGCCGTGGTTAAGCAGTTTGGACCCCAATCACCATGGCTTAATGGTGCTCCACTGTATAAAACTCTAAAAAAAATGTTTAAATAAAACAAACACTTACATACATCATATTACACAAAATAAAAAAAATACAAACACACAAAAACTCTGCTTTCAAACTGAACATCACCAGGGCTCACTCAGAATTAGTGTTGCCAGATGTTTTTAGTGTTTGTAGCCAAAAAGTAGCCCAAAAGTAGCCAACCCCTAAATTTTTTTTAATAACCCAAGATTTGACAATAAAATAAAAAAAACCATTTGTGATTTTTCGGTAATAACTTTAATCACAATAAATGTTAACAACAATAATGTTTTCGGCCATTTACACGCCTATAAACTGATCGGAAATAAAGATTGCTAGACTCAAAATACATTCATACACTGTAACTACTATATGGAGAACTCATTTATCTGCAAAGTAGATTGCGACGAATTGTGCAACAAATGAACTTGTCAAGACATATTACATAGAAAAAATTAATTTTTTATAGTATTCTTAATTGCAAAGAAGTCAAATCTGGCAATGTTGCTGAGAACTGACTGAAGCGCTACTTGTAATCGTCCAGAGCGCCACGTTTTGGCCATCCTGTTCTTGTGGTTGAGGATCAAAAATAGCATTTAAATTGAAATCACGAAACAATTGTTCCAAACAACTAATAGTAACTTATGGCTGTAAATTGTTCAAAATCATTTTTCACTGTTTCATTCTGTATAAAAGAATAAGCTAGATCTGCACTAAGCTAGATTATAATAATGATTGCTAGGATGGTCTTTGCATTCTTATATAATAATCCAGTTTGTTGAGACTATAATGCTCGTTGAACATAATATTTAAATTGTCCACATTTTTCATCAATTGTGAAATCTCACGGAATGCTCTCAACATGGACACAGTAGAATATTTTCTTTCTTCTTCCTTGGCCACATAAAGTTTAATTACTTTGATCATCAATGATCTTCCACTAAAATATTGATGAATAAAGTTTTATTCCAAAATTCTGCTAACCTCAACGTTATGTGCAAATTTCGATTGCCTCCTTATGAACTCTGAGTTTCGCCCAAACTGCTACTGAATTTATATCTGTCTATAGAAGGATTATTTCGATTGTTTTATTCTTTGAATTACTAGCTCTTTGCAAATTCTTGTCTTGACTAAAGTTTGTGGCTGGTACTATGTCATATTTGATATTGTTTATCATTACTTGAAGAGATTTCTGATGATTTTGCCATTAAAATTCTCTTTCATTGATAGAACATCTTCGAAATCATAAGGCAATAGAACATCATTAATAAAAATCAGTCGAAATCAAAATTTTCTGTAACTGCTGTATTTTTCATGACGCTGCCACATATTCTAACTCTGTCAATCTTGAACTGGCTTTTAGTCGTGAGAAATTGTAATAGCTTCCTTGTATTTGTTCTTCCTTCTATCAAAGTTTTTCTGTACGGTTTTAAATTAATCGATAATTTTGTCAATTTATTTTCTAACATAAATTCTGACATTTTGAAAATGATGCTTAAGTTCCAACTTCAAATTTCATACTCTCAAAGACAATAGCATCAACGGTCTGAACCAAAAATAAGTTTAAGAAAATTTTATAAAATTTAAAGATATTAATTTATTGCGAAAAATATTTAACATTAATATTTACTCAGACGGATAAGTTCTTAAATATCGGTTATATCGTTAGCTTATATATGCTGGAAGAAGAGATCGGACCAGGTCTGGTTAGCATAATTGACAATGCATCTGCATGGTAAGCAGGATTTGCAAGTTTGAGTCATGCTTTGGGTTGATTCTTTTCTTCCAGTAATTCTAAAATTATTAAATTTATCAGAAGATGGTGCCTAACGCCTAACTCTAATGCCAAATTGTCTATTAAATTATTAGTATTACAGCCATTTCTAGCCCAATAATATTTGGTTTTGGTTGATGTATAGTGTTAAATATTGGATTTTTTAATTTATATCAATGAAATTTGCTTATTAATTTTGTTTGTAGTTTCTCAATCCTATGTTAAAAGTATATAAGCCAGCTGGAAAACGAAAAGAATTCCTTTAAAAATATTAAAAATTTTTCAATTTGTATTGATAAAATATTTTGCGATTATTGCAATAAAAACTGAGTTTCAATGTCTTGTTGTTGAGATTAATTATTATATGTTAAAATGGCATAATTCTAAAACACATCTGCTTCTTTTTTTGTGGGAAGAGCTTAACTCTGCCTCTGAGTATCTGTAGATGACAACGGGTGTAATAGCAGCATTTCACGAGCCTCTGTTGCCAACTTCCAGTCATTTTTACATTGTTAAAAGTAACATTGAGGTTTTTTCAAACAATTACAGTATAATGAAAATTTTAATTATGTCAAACAGGGTGGCAGAAACAATCAGCAGCGATGCTCACATTACATCACTTAATGTTCACTTTACACTGTCCCCTCAATGTGAGTTTCTATCAGTGGTGATGCGACCTCCCAGAGATGGTTTAGTAATTCTTCTTTACCATCTCAGGGATCAGAACGTTCACTCATGTCTTTGCTGAGCATGGTGGCCCTTATGCCAGAAAGAGCAATACTTGTAGTTGAGGGGCAACATAACGTCTCAACACACTGCTTTGGCCTCTGCTTCGGATAAACGGGAGGCTCAAATTAGGCTCCATTTGAGTCAATCGGCTGGTTGCTGAGTCATTCTTGACCTTGGCCTGGAGTCAGCTGATCGATGCAGACTGGGCGGACACGTCAGACAAGATGTGCTCTTCTTGACTGCATTGTGAGGGTATAGCTCCAGGGAAACCCTGGTGTGACAGTCTATGGGAGTCTCCCATGTGATTATTGTTGGGCCCCGTGGTGGGTGGGGTCACTAGGAGCTGAATATATTTTTCTAAATATGGATTCTCTAAAATCTAAAACATCGACCAATGCACTGTTACCAAAGGAGGTCAATTCCTCCAATCAACCAACCTACCTTATCGTTCACGATACAGGAGAAACACCTTTGTCTAAACGCTCTCCTTTTTTAATCCAGAAACTTTTTGAGTCGACCATTGTTCACCTAAAAAAAATTCAAAAATTGAGGTCAGGAGATCTACTTGTGGAAACAGCCTCCCCTCAACAGTCAGAAAAACTCTTGAAAATGAAGTCTCTAGGAGACATACAAGTCACCATCACAGCACATACAAGTTTGAACTTTTCACGTGGTGTGATATCTGAAATTGATCTGATGTCTGAGGATGAATCAGATATCCGAGGATGAATCAGATATCCAGATTGGTCTTTCAGATCAAAATGTTACTGCTGTTCGACACATCTCCATTCGTCGAGATGGCAAGTTAATCCCTACTAAACACTTAATTTTAACCTTTAACAAACCAACTTTGCCATCTGCTATCACAGCAGGTTATCTGTGCTGCCCAATTCGTCCGTATGTTCCAAATCCGCTGCGTTGCTTCAAATGCCAGCGATTTGGACATTCACAAACATCCTGCCGTGGGAAAAGCACATGCGCTCAGTGTGGAACTGAAGGTCATGAGAGTACCGTGTGCAACAATTCTCCATGCTGTGTGAATTGTAAAGATGCCCATCCTGCCTACTCAAGGAAATGCCCTGCATGGCAGAGAGAAAAGGAGATTCAACGGGTAAAAACCACAAATAATATACAATACCCAGAAGCCCGCCGCATGGTCATTCAAACTACAACATTAAAACAAAAAACATTTGCTTCTGTTTTGAAATCCACAAAAACATGTGGAGTTCAAACAGATATTTCTATATCACCAAGTGAATCTCTTACTCGCCATGCAAAATGTTTACTGATCCCACCAACACAAGCAGAAGACACGGCAAACACAAAGACCAAAACTCCTGTAACTAAAACAGGGGTAACAACCAGAAATGTGAGTTCTAAAAAGGCTAATAAGAACCCACCGAACAAACAAAAATTAAAAGCAGCCCTCTCTAAATCAAAGAGATCAGAGACTCAATCCATGAGTGATATTTCTGATGAAGAAAATAATATAGAGGGGACCCAACCACCCTCCCCTTCAAAAGCAAAATTCTATGTAAAATTGAAGAGGGACACTTTTGCGAAGACTGCTGCCTCAAACACATAATGGATTATAAAATAATCCAATGGAACTGTCGTGGTTTCCGCAACACTTCCCTGACATTAAACACTTGACATCATATACCTCAGCTGTCTATGTGGCACTTCAGGAAACACATCTCAAACCTGGAGATA